TCAGTCAGACAACTTCGCTTCAACGTTTCAAGCTATGACGTACAACCATTTCGTTTCTAATTACGGAATCGTCAAACTAAACATTGACTCGGATGCTAGCATTTGACTTGTTACAGTTTTTTTTTAATAATCGAACCAATCTGTTTGATTTATTAAAAAAGAGTTGTACCAACTTAAACAACTGGGATGCAACCGTCACTGCTGATAGCCAAATAGGCTACAAAGTAAACTATTGAGATTGAAATTACCTTTGAAAAATTCTTTCAATTTAAGAAAACAAGACACGACAAACCAGGTGAAACGTCAATTTTTGAGGTCTGCAAAAAGTTGTTTGCCCCAGTCAACAGTTTGAAACCACTGTTCAACGTCAACGCCTGCCATAACTACTTTAACATCATCTTAAGCGACAACCAACACACAGAACATTACACAGAAGCATTACGAGTTAAACTCCCCAATTATTTAAAAGCGCACACAAAAAATGAAATAGAATATCCTTCTTGATTCAATTGAAATAAAACCGGCTCTCAAAGTGCTTTCGTTGGCACAACATGATTTCGAGTTTGCTCGCATGTCTTCACTAAAATACCAAGAAACAATAATGAACACAACCGAAAAGCACATTCCAGCGATCCATACCTCCCGTTGGTCAATGTTCACAGCCGATTTACGAGAGGTTTTGTTTAGATTTGTTAGAAAGGTACTAATTCAACAACTTCCAGCGAATGCCAACCTTTCAAGATGGGGAGTCATCCAAGCCATTGTGCCCGATATGTAACTTCCTTCAAACCAACAAACATGTGTTATCAAACTGCGGTTTTTGTCAGCACTAACTACTATCTATCTTTTCTTTTTAGAAAAAATCAAGTCGAACTCAACAGCTGATGTGTCGTGTCGTGTCGATTTATGCAGATACTGATTTCGACAACTGCCACACCGTGTCAATCCTCTTCAGTTCTCTTCGCCCTGACACCACTCTCTTTAGAAATGGGACCATTGAAATTGACGATTTGCCACGAAACAAATTTCACAAAAACCAAAAACTTAAAGTCATCAAAATATTGTCAAAACTTGGTCAATAATTTAAAAGACGATTTGGAACATTTAAAAATTGTAATTAGGACATTTGAAACTTTCCTCCTAGAAATTTTCAATCCTCTTAAGTTGTCATCTGTTATAATTTGGTTGGACCACTTTCACAACTTTCCAAATAAATCAGTCAAAAGTTCTTTTCTATCTATCGTGAGAGAAACTCTATTAATAACTAATTTTAATCAGTTTTAACTCAAATTTTTTTACACTGATTTTTAAATCAATTTGAATTCAATTTTATACTGATTTCAATTTCTTTATGTACCCACTGTTGACGAGCGGCGAGCATGGCAGATTACGCATTTAACATTTCAATTAGGTTTTAATTAGATTCGATCACATTCTATTTCACCTCATTTAATTTAATGTTTTTCTGAAAATAAGAAAAAGTTCTTATTAATATTATTATTGTTATTTATTAATTTTTATTTTTTTTGTTGGTTTTTAGGGTGAAGATGGAAAGACAAAGAGGTAAAGAATATTTATATGATTGCCAAACTATAAAACTGAAAGTACAAATTAAAATGAAAAATTCACACACACGCGCATAAATACACACGCGCGCGCGCACACTCACACACACACAAACGCACGCGCACACACGTACACACACACACAAACGCACACACACACAGACACGAATATGCACCCATCTACGTATTATAAATTTCACAAAAGCTTGCACCATCCAGTCGTCCGATAAATTACGTTACAAAAATGTGAGGAAAATTTTTATTCTTCATCAGTCACCAGGGCGAGGCCTCAAAAGTAGAGTCATCTGCACCAAGCAAAAAGGAGAATCGTGATGGGGCAAAGGTGGTTGTCTTCGAAGGGAAGGAATTGCAGAAGTATGCTACGTTCTCGTGGGTGTCTGAATCGTTGATGCTGTTGTTGCTGTTGTTGTTGATGCTGTTGTTATTGTTGAAACGGTAGTTTTTGAAGTTGATTTTGTTGTTGTAATTAACGTATTTGTAATTAATGATGTCATTATTGTAATTACTCTTATGGTAGAAATAATAGTAGTAGTAATAAAGTAATTCAATTAGCAGCAGTAGTAGCAGCAGCAGCATTAGTAGTTGTGGTAGTAGTAGCAGTAGTAGTAATATTAGTAGCAGCAGTAGTAGTAGCAGTGGTAGTAATATTAGCAGTAGTAGTAGTAGCAGTGGTAGTAGCAGTGGTAGTAATGTTAGTAGCAGTAGTAGTAGCAGTGGTAGTAGCAGTGGTAGTAATATTAGCAGTAGTAGTAGTAGCAGTGGTAGTAGCAGTGGTAGTAATATTAGTAGCAGTAGTAGTAGCAGTGGTAGTAACAATATTAGCTGCAATGTTGTAAATATTTAATTATTCGTAAATTATCACCTTTCAATCAAATAGAGAACACGGAAAGAAGAAAAAAGACGCAAACAGAAAAGATGATGATAATGACCATGATGATGATGATGGTCATGATGATGATGATGATGATGATGGCGACCACGGTCATGATGATGATGATGATGATGACGGCCACGTCGACGATGCTGATGATGATCACGATCATGATGATGATGATGCCCACCACGATCATGATGATGATGATGACCGCCCTGATCATGATAATGATGATGACGATAATGGCAATGAAAAAAAGTGGAAAAAAGCTTTGCTGAAAATTCTGGGAAAGGTTAAAAGATTATTAATTTATTTTTAGTTTCAGCTTATTACTATATTCAGCTTATTACTATATATATTATATATATATATATATATATATATATATTATAACCGCGGGAATGATTGAATTGCGCTATATAATTAATTGTTGTTATCTTGTCATATTTATTATCTTCGCTATTTGTCATCTATTGTAAACCATAGAATTTTTCCACACCATAGAGGACTGTAAAAATGTACAGTTGAGGCTATTAAGGGGCTGTTATAGCGAGGTTTCTAGCGAGGTTTGAAGCGAAGTCGTAAATGTGATTTATGTAGCAACTTGGATTAGTTTAGTTAGTGTTTCCGTTACTGTTGGCATTCAAATAAACGTTCAACAATGTTTGCGTTTGGAACAGTTGTGTTCATCTATCGAAAATCTTGAACCTACGAAATAACGATAACTTGACGATTGTAGCGATAGTTGTAGTAGAAGCAGCAGCAACAGCAGCGGCAGTAGTAGTAGTAGTAACAATTTTTATAAGCATGTAATTATATGGTAAAATCAACTTATGCTTAAATATTTGTTTCATTAACATTTTCCCAGATATATTCCAAGAAGAATTGAGATACTCTCATCTGAGTTGTGACCAGCTAAATAATTATAGCATCATCATCATATTGCCGTTATAACAATCATCATCATTATCTCCATCATCATCATCATCATTATCATTATCACCGTTGTCATCATCATCATCGTCATCATTGCAATTTTAATCAGAGCCACCACCATTCATTCATTATCCACCACGATCGTGTTTATACTTTATACGCATCTTTATCATCATCATCATCGTTATCACCACAGCAAATATTTCAATCATCATTATCAATATTATCAACTTGGTCGTCATCTTCATCTTCATTATCATCACCATCATTATCAGCACCATCATTACCTTCATCATCATCATCATTCTCGTTTCATTGGTTAAGCAACAAGATCCACTTCAGCGAATCTCTTTATTTTACTCAAGTTTAAATCAAACATTCAACAATTGGATTAATTTAATAACAAAAAACCATAATGATATTATATATTTATTTAAAATAATCACTTTTTTATGATTCTTGCGTTATAATAACTGCCATCATTAAGACTGCTTTTTCAACATTTTTCAATGCAATTCAAATGTAATTTTTATATTGTAAGGCGTTTGTTAATTAATTAATTAAACTAATTAATTAGTTATATAGTTAACGGTTATATCAAATTGATTGAATTGTTTAATTAAACTTTTTAATTACTTATTAATTATAAATTATTTTTGTTTTATACAAAACTATTGAATTGCTTGCTGTTTTCAATCAATTGTATCAACACTATTTTCTTATAAATTTTCTAAATAAATGTAAAGAAATTATTCATAGAAGCATTTTGCACTGTACTCACACACACACACACACACACACACACACACACACACACACACACACACACACACACACACACATACTCACACATACAAACACACTCACACAAGATAAAAAATATATATATAACATATAAACTGTAAAATATTCAACATTGACAACAGCAGTCTTAATAGAGTTACCGGACATTACTGAGTTATAAATTCAAATTTGTACCTATACATACAAACACATACTCAAACACCCCAAACGCGCACACACAAACTCGCAAATTCACAGACGTACGTTCTATTATGTAGATGTACATGATCTAAGGCTAGCCAAACGTCCCTTAAAAAATCTCAGATATTAATTTAATAAGAATGAATTTACATTATAATTAATTAGTGGATTTTTAATGATAAGTTAATCGTAAATGAGACAAAACAAACACACATACACTCGCACATGCGTTTGTATTTAGCTACTCTTCAATTCACGCTTCAAATGAAACTATCTCACTGAATATCATGCAGGCTAGCTGAATCGGATAATTGATGGTCTGATACATCATTCACTCATCACACACCACACGCGCGCGCACTCACGCACACACACACTTACACATGAAAAAATAAAAAATAAATAAAAAATTCTGGTTTATTGGTTATTTGCCGTCAAAATCAACTCGAAAACTATCGGAGTCTCTGATGATCTTCATAGTTTCTTCAGGTAACAAGCTGAAATAATTATTTCCAATACTTTCAGACTAATGAAAAATCCAATTTTGTAAATTACTTAAAAATATTAATAGATAACAGTTTCAAATTCGAAGCTGCAAATTTATCCAAGTTTACAAAGTTTTACAGATGAAATCGCAATTGACGATACTTGTTGAATGCAGCTAAAATCCACAATTTATTTGGAACGAAGATGTGCTTCTTGTCAGCCAAAACGCCATCCAATATAGCTTGCGCCGCCTCATCTGGCGACATAGAAACTAATGTCCTTACCATTTGAAATTATTTGATTAAATAATTTTTGTATAGTGAGTAATTTATTAGATACTATGTGGAAGTTCGACCACAAAATGAGAAAATAATCCCGAGATTAATGTTAGAACTCATCAAAGAATCAATTGCACGAACTGTCTGTTAGGTCGGATGATGCTTCGTAGTAGTGGGGTGTCAATAGATGCAGGATATACGATGGACACCTGAAGGCCTGTCTTTCCACTCTGAAGGAACTCTTCGGCCAGAGATTCGGATAAACCTCTTACAGCAAATTTTGTGGCACTTGAATAAAAATGTTTTTGTTAATCAGTATAGTTGAAGTTTTTATTATTTTATTTCAAATTAAATTTTCAGAGTTGAAACAATGACTGATTGTAAATTCAATTTAGATTTTGAGAAGTAGCAAGAATATAACAAGATTGAGAGACTGTTTGTTTAACTGATTGTTTTAAAATATCGCTAAACGTTTGGGAAAAAAATATTTCTAGATGAAATATTTTGGAGATATCAACGTGTAATCAGCAGCGTTTGCCTCTCCAATGCAGCCAGCAATGGAAGATAAGTTGACGATGTGACCATCATTTTTTCTGTACATTTCTGGCAAAAATTCCTGTATTGTCTTAAAACAAACATTTACTTTTAAATTCAAAAATTATAACAAAATTTATCATTGAAAAAAAATTCAAACCAACCCAAAACATGGCCATCAAATTGATATTAACAATTCTTTTGATATCTTCCTCAGTCTGGTTCCTGAAGTTCTTATAGTTGATGACTCCGGCGTTGTTAACAAGGATGTCCACCTCCCCCAGATCTCTGCGAACCATCTGAGCCACCCTTGCCACATTCTCCTTCTTGGAAACGTCACACACGTACGAGTGGCAGGGGGCATTCAGGGCCGACACCTGGCTGGCCGTCTCGTCGCATGTCGCCTGCAATTACGTTAGTTCTACTCTACTTCTATTTTTTTATTGTAGTTTTTGACATTAAAAAAATTTTGTTTGAAAATCTTAGGGATTATTTTGAAACGTTTAATGATTGTGTTTGTACTTTTTCATATCTAACTATTTGCATCAATATCTTCACGAGTAGGTCAACAATTTTCACCTATCGAATTATTTATGAACCTGGAAAAGGCAAATTTTTTTAAACAACTTTCTGGTTATATATTTATTATTTCATTAAACGTTTACTCAAGCAGATTTTTTAAATAATCGCACTTTGAATCAATCAATTCATTTCCATAGTGCCGATTAGGATGTGTCTGACTGCTCCTAGATTGATTTAGTAAAAACATAGGTCTTGGAATCCGTTCTAAACTTTGTAAGTGGTGAAAGAAAACGAAGTGAATTTTGGAGAAGAAGACCAAATCAGCCAAAACAGATTCAAACGTGAAAGTATTCAGTTGGAATTAAGAAATAGTTAGAAAATCGTGATTCAACCCACTCAGGCTTGGTTAAAATGTTCAATGAAAGGTACATCATTTCAATTGATATCGTTCGTCAACTTTGCCAAAACTTGTGGAATTAAACATTTCAGCTACCAACTGCAAATCAACAGAACTTCAAGTAAATGTACTGCTACGAGCCACACTAAATATTGAAACACTAATAAAACTTCAGCCATGATGAAGTTAATACTGATGCATTTAACACTTACTATTGAACCCAAAAAAAAAAAAAACATAGAAAATTATATCATCAAAAATTGTCGTAAAGTCGACCAATCTGTAAATATTTCAGATGATAATAATTTGAAGCTTCATCGAGATTTTGATATAAAAATATTTTTAAATATTACACGATGCTTTTTAGTAACTTTACATTTTTTTAAATTAATTTAAAAATTCGTTTTTTATTATTGAATGAAGCTAATTTTCTGAGCCACTTCTTGATGCAAGTAGACAAGGCAAGAGACGAAACTATAACTTATACAACAAATCACATTTTTAGTGTAAGCTTTATAATATAAACGTAGTTAAACTTAACGGCAGCAAATATTTACAAACTTCATGGATGTCCCACAAAGCCAGTTTAGTTTTTTGAGCGGCAAACTTGAGGGCTAGTTGCCTTCCAATGCCCCCACCAGCTCCGGTTATCAGCACCACCTTCCCGCTTATATTTTTCCGCTTCAATGGAAAAATTTTTTTGAAAATTTCTTTTAACAGGCTGCATAAAATCAGCATGACATAATAAATTTTGTTGAAATACGTTGCAATGACCATTTTGTGATATTTTTCTAATTTAATTATTAAGAATCGTAAAGAAATTTGAAATCATGATAATTCATTAACGTTGTATATTTAGCTACGACATGTTGCTGTTTTTATCATTGCGGATCGATATTGCTGACGCAACGACAATCGTAAGTACACGTAGGTATGTTTAATACGTGTGTGTGTATCCAACCTACTTACCTATCGTAGTTGATAGTTGATAGCTGATGGTAACTTGACTCTGCAATTAATGATGTATTCAACAAATGATATTTTCGTGATATTTAACGATTTTTTGAAAATTTCATTTCAAAGGGCTCAGTCAAGCAAATATTCGGCTAAAATTTTCAGGTTTTGAAAATGTAAAAGAATTCTTCGTTGCCATGTGACTTTGTTGTTCTTTATAATGAATTTGACTTAGATTTTTTCAAAAAGATTTGTGGAGAGTTAAATGGGGATGATTATGTTGCAATCAAAACTTGTTCTCTAAGTTATATAATTTCAATATAGCAAAAGCAATTGATGATTACAAAATCAGCTTATGAATATCACAAACATGACTATTTGAGATTTACGTTCCATAATTGTATTGTACCTAGCTATGCATTGTTAGCCTTTACAAACATAAAGACTGCATAACAAAAAATGGTGTATTTTCCAATTTTTGGTTGTTGGTGATTTTTGAATGTTCTTTTTGCAACATTTAAGACCATCGTGAGTATTTGTGACGTATGTTTGAAGTTCAGGTGGGACATCTTAAAAAATGGCAGACTTTTTAAAATCCATGTTTCAATTTTTCTTTGACCAGCTTGGAGAGATTATTGTAGCGACCATCTTCATAACGATTTATGAGTTGTATCTTCTTAAAAAACCAAAAGATATAAAAGGAAATGTAGTTCTGATAACAGGCGCTGGCGGGGGCATTGGAAGGCAATTGGCCCTCAAGTTCGCTGCTCATAAAACTAAACTGGCTTTGTTGGACATCGACAAAGTTTGTAACTCAGGGTCAAAATTTAGTTATGCAAAATAATTATACTGTTGAATTGTTATTTATTAAGGTTCAATTTAAAAAATTTTTAATCAGGATAATTGAAAACAAACAGACAGATTAGAAAATAATAAATTTATTGAACTGCAGAGCAGATGTGACGAGACGGCAAGTGAGGTGAGAGCACTAGGCAGCACATGCTACTCGTATGAATGTGATGTTTCCATCCAGGAAGCAGTGGCAAGTGTAGCTCGGCTGGTACGTCGGGATCTGGGAGAAGTGGATATCGTGGTTAACAATCCATGCCGCATTGACCCAGCATCTCATGCTAACTTGAAAGGAGAGGAATCTCAACCATTTAGTTTTACAAATATTTTCGGATCTCTCTGGGTTGGTTTTGTTTGACAAAGTACTTTCATTCGAATAAAATTATGGTAATTAATTACCAAAAGCTGTTTTTTGATAATGTAGTTTTATTTTTTAAATTTGTTTTTATGAATAAAATTATTCGTTAAAAGTTATTATATTTTTTTTATAAAATCAATGTATTGACTTGTAAGCAAAAACTGAGGGATGTTTTTAAAAATAATATAAAATACAAACATGGGGAACACGTTGTAGTAATGATAAAGATGCTCGGCACTGCAGTAGCATTGATAAGGTTCAAATGTAAAGAGATTGACCAAATTCTAAAGCCATGCTAATTCCCGTTTAATCCCGTTTCGGTGGGGGATAATTTCCAAAATCCTTAGTTTTTTTTTATAATTTCTGTTTAGTTTGTCACTATATTTTACACAAAATCTTCCATATTTTGAAGAAAAAATTCTTTCATGGACTGATGAGTAAGGATGCATCCCCGAATTCCCCTTCTTTTGATCTGCCGCTGATTATAAGCAACATGTTTGATTAACGCGAAGTACTGTGTTTTAGTATAATAATTTACACAGAATCTTCCATATTTTCCGCTTTCATGGTCAGGTGCGGAGGGAAGCACCCGCATTACCACCACTAGATCCGCCACTGATCATAAGCAATAAGTGTGTATTTATTGCCACTGTGTGCTTGTTGTTGATATCTTGAAAAATTTTGTTGAAGAAAGAACTTTTTAAAAATTTTATTAACAGATAATCGGAGAATTTCTGCCAGTAATGAACGCCAGGAAGAAAGGTCACATAGTGAACATTTTCAAAACTGTGGCATACTTCTTAGTGGATTATGTGTTGATCTCACATTTTTTCAAATTATTTTGTTACAATCTTTTAACACAATATTTTCAGTTACTATAATCGTTAATTTTTTTATTGTTATTACTATAATTATTAAAATTTTTAGAATCTTCACTGCTGTTGTAACTGAAAACTCTTCCACAATATAGGATAGACAATTGGAAGAAATCTTCAAAAAATTCCTCATTCCATATAGATGCTGGCATTCATATAACCAGTGTTCATCCCACCAAGCTTGATTATAAAAAGCTTCTAGAAACCCATTACCTATGGTAAATTTTTTGAAAAAATCATTTTTTAAAGTTTTATTAACTATATCAAAAAAAAGGTTAGTATTGGTTTTTTTTTATAAATTTTGATGTTATTTTTGCGATTTTTGTCCAATTCTTACCACCTATTATATTTAAAAATATGAAAATCGTTTTACAATCAATAATTTTTTCATATAGAAATAAGCAAAAAATATTTAAAACACGTCATGATAATTTAAATTTTTCGCAATTTCATTCAAACAAAAGTAACGTCCAGTTAGCGCCAGTTAAAACGGCTGTAGACATGATTATAAGTGGTGTGCTAGTTAATGAGAGAATCATCTCAGTTCCGAATGTACTCTGGGAAATTATCCCAAGAAATAAGTTAGTCCGTCAAAACATCTCAATATTTATTGCCTCAGATACTATTTCTTACTATTGGAATATTATTGTTTTTGGAAAATTGGATTTGTTATATATAAAGTTTGTTTGTAAATAATGTCGTTTATAATATAATTTTTATTCAAATTCAAAGCAATTTTCTGGAGAGAAAGATGAAATTCATCAGAGCTTTCTATGATTTCTGAGACATCTGCCGACAGTTCTGAGCGAAGATTTTTCAAGATATTCACGTTAAACATTTTTGTAATCCTTTGTTCTAAACGGACATTATATTTTTAGATGTTTGATGCTTTTTTAATGACTTGATTGAAACAGTTGTGAGTTAAATATTATGTAGCATTAATAAATTGCTTCAATACTTGAACTTTTTCCAAATTTATTGAATTTTACAAAATTATTTTAAAATTTGTTATCGAATAACTTTTTTTTGGGCTTGTCTTTAACTAATACTGTTTATTATCGTTTAAATATTTTGTTTTTGGCATAATAGAGAGTAATTATTTTTTTAAATTCAAATATATGTTTTTACTTTTTGCCTTTTTGAAATTGATACCATAAATAAAAAGCCAGTAAAAATATCGAGGCTAAGTAAGATTAGTTAAATTGACAGCTATTTATTATTAAATATATTATTATTGTTTATTATTATTATTTATTGTTATCTGTAAAGTAAAATTTAGAAAAACTGTTCCTATGTCATAAAATTCTATACCGGGTAACTAATTTTATCTTGCATCTCGAGACAACTCCTCCAGACAAACGTTTTAACGAAATAAAATTACGTTCTGTCCTGTTATAAGGCTTAGTTTAAAGTTTAAACTTTAAACGCTCAGAATGTGTTTATTGACATGAAATAATTAAATAGATGATTGGTTCGTTGAATTTGAGATGTAAATAGATTGGCGAATCGTATATTGTTACCATTGTATTTGATATTTTAGATATTCGAGATTATTTTTTACTTATTTATGAAAATTAATAAAGGTTAATTCATGAATAACGATAAAGGATATTGCGCGTTCTAAAAAATTCAACGATTTTGAATGGCTACCTGTTAACGATACGATACGATATGATGCGATACTATCTGCTACCTATTGATGAATATTACCATTAAATTACTTATCTAAAAATACCTATTCAGACTAACGAAATTCGGCATACGGGGCATGTCAGAGTCACTGGCAGAGGACTTCGTAGCCCACAAAAAATTTGGCATCCACATCTCTATCGTCTACCCAACTGATGTTGACTCTCAATTGTTCAGAAAAGTAACCTTCGCCAAGTACATTTTGTTATTTGGTTTTTGTATAATTTCGCATAATTTTTTTTAATTTATGATTTTTTCTGTTTTTATTTAAGATTACAATACAAATTTTTTAAATGTGCAGAGCGCCATTTGTCTGAGTGAGTTATATTAAGTGGCAAGCTAAAGTTAGTTGCCGAGTGTGGAATTTTTTGATATGGCAAGTTTTTTCATATGTTATGCCTTCAATTTTTAATTTTTTAGACATCTTAAAACAATAACATCAGATAAATTTTTCATATTCAATATTCAAAATGGGAGATTTTTATTTAGATAAAAAATTTTAAATTGCCAAAAAAGGAGCTTATACGATGTGAATTTTCTGATTGCAATTAAAGATATTGATTTGTCTGAAAATGCTGCCTAGCTAACAAAAATTAATTTATTTTTGATTAAAAAAAACATTCAACTTAACGCAACGCTCATAGCTTCATTTGTACAATTATAAACATTACACTAGCAAACAAGGAAACATTACTTTTCAGCCTATCTAAAATGTTTCTTTTCATTTCAAATTTTGTCTAATCACATTAATATAATTTCTTTTTTTTTGCATTTTACGGCGTTTCAGCTCTGATAGGCTATCTTCATGCCTTCGTTGTGAATCTTTTTTAATTTTTTTTTTTTAAATATAATTTGTTAATTTGTACAGAAACTTCACCCCACTCAGTGTGGAAACTGCAGTGGACATAATGATGGAAGACATCCTAGCCAACCGGAAACATATCTTCGTGCCAAACAATCTCTGGAGGGCAAAGGCTATAAATAAGTAAGTATATAGGTCAAGGTCAAGGCGAACAACGTAACGTACAACAATTCCTACACACACAAACTTGACCTGACATAACCCCACATGGGAAAAACATTCCATTACACCTATACAATGTTTATGTGATATCTTAAAGATTGTTTTTATCCTCTTATAAAATATACCCTTTTATTTTGTTTTCCAAGTTTGTTCCTCGAAGGAACGATGAGGATTGTCCGCAGTTTCGACGAAGGTCAAATCAGTTTTGATGAAAAATAATTCAACGGGAAATTCACAAGGAAGTTTTTTTAGGGGATTGGCTTTAACATTAACCTTACTGACGTTAATAAGGAGTCCTTTTAAATTTTTGCTCGTTGTGAACTTTTTCAAATGAAACATCAACGTTGTTAGCCTTTTAAGATAAGCACGTAACACTGAGGCAGTCGAAAATATATAACACTCTCAATTCAACGCTTTCGTCAACTTATTTCCAAGAATGAACTAAACTTGAAGCAAAGAGTTATATAGAGAGTTTTATTTATTACGCAGTTATATAGAGATTTATTGCACGGTTATATAGAGTATTATTGCAGGGTTATATAGAGTTTTATTGCGCGATCATATAGAGTTTGCACAGACAAAAACACACACACATACATACACACATACATAAATACATACATGCATACATTCGTTTTGTTTGCTTTGTGTGTTATCCTCTTTACCTTACTTTTTTCTTCGTAATCGTACAAATAGGTAGGATTAATCCGTAAGTTGAGCTAATTGAACATAGGTAGGTGAGTTAATTCAGTGAACATAGGTAAGTTAGGGACTCTATTCTTTCATTCTTACGTTCTGGTTTATTTGTATTGTATTGTTTGTTTTTTTATTCAACACAACACCAACAACAACAATCAAACACGACAATCAGCACAATATTACTTTCGTTATATTTTAGTTAAATTTCGTTATATCTTGTTTTAGTCAAGTTATTTATAATTTCTAAACTTATTCGTTTATTTTACTGTTATCATTGTTTATTTATTTTTAAATTGCATTATTCAACACACACACACACACACACACATGCGGCCCTTCAAAGGTTAAATAGTTCTCAATGCGGCCCTCGCAGTAAAATGTTGGCCCACTCCTGTTTTATGTAACTCATTCCTAAACCAAACTTCTCAATCTCTTTTAAAATATATTAATTCTTGTCTGTACCATAAACTGTGAAAAGTAAAAAAATAATTTTGAGAAATTTGAACGCACCTTTATAAAATTCTTCAACAACAACTTGTAAATTGCCTTGATATATTATCAAGCTATCAAGAAAAACCTCGAGATAGTGTAAGAGATGTAATGCTAAATGCACTTGGCTCAGAATATAAAATGATCAGTTGATTTAACGTTTTTGTCCTAAACAAATAATTTGAGCAAAACAAATTTTCATTCGCAGATTGTGGTGGATCATAAAATATACATACAATATTATCAGAGTGATTTCAGTGAAGAGTCCTTTTGGTGAAACGAAAAAAATAAAAATTTTCGAATACACTTTTCAAGTTTATAAATAAAAAAACATTGATGAATTGTTTAACGTGAATTATTAAAAAAATTAATGAAAAATTAATTTCACCTAAACATTTTATAAAAATAATAAATAATTAAAAGAAACATAAACACTGCTTAGGGGTTAACTAAGTTTTTAAAAAGTAATACATAGACAAATAATACATAGACAAATAATACCCAGACAAATAATACATAGACAAATAACATATAGACAAACAACGCATAGATAAATTACACATAAACGCATAAGAAATACATAGACAAATACAAATAGACAGACAACATTGACACAAAATACAAAGATAAATAATACATAAACATAAAATAAATGCATAAGCAAATAATACATAAACATAAAATAAATACATAGACAAATAATACATAGACAAATAAAACATAGACAGTTATTTTTTTGAATTTTTTTGTTCTTGCTGGAGAGCCTTCCTCTGCCTCTTGACCAATTCACTTGGAAACTTCTTGAAGCAGGCCTTGCAGATAGGCTTGCAGTCGAATTCTATGAATTTCGTTCTGCAGATAGATAGGTAGGTAGATAGGTAGGTAGGTAGGTAGGTAGGTAGGTAGGTAGGTAGGTAGGTAGGTAGGTAGGTAGGTAGGTAGGTAGGTAGGTAGGTAGGTAGGTAGGTAGGTAGGTAGGTAGGTAGGTAGGTAGGTAGGTATTTTTTTCGTATTGTTTTTGTATCGTGTAATAAGCCCGATTAGTTAAGAATAATTCGTAAATGATTTAAGTTATTAAACAAAAAAATAATGATTGAAAATGATTAAAGATATCATCACTTCAACCGTCTTATCTCCTTTTCATCATCATCATCATCTTCGTCACAACCATCATCATCATCGCCATTTCTTTGATCACCATCATCATCATTATCATCTTCAGCCCCACAATCATCATCATTATTACAATCACCATCATCATCGTCGTCGCCACTTATATCATCACCATCATCATCGTCATCATCATCATCAATTTACTTATTGTCCATCTTCCGATCACAGAGGGAGCAGCTGAAATGACCGCAGCACCATTCCTTGTTGAAAGCAGTGAAAGCTGATGGATAATAAGCAACAACATTAATAATAATAATAATAATAATTTGTGTTGTTGATGTGTTGCTGTTGATGTGTTGTTGCTGCTGAAGTTGTAATTGTTAGTGCTGATGTTGTTGTCATTAATGTCATTCATTTATTACTCACTGTCTCCCGTGATGACAGAGTTGCAGTAGAAGCACGTATTGCCGAATGCCTATTGGTTAAATTTGCGCGGGAAAACTTAATGATGGTGATGATGATGATGATTAGGTGATGACGATGATGATGCGAAAACTTTGCATTACTCATAAAAGCCATGAAAACAAATGAATTATTCACGATTTCATAATGCATGACGCATTAATTCACGGCGTAACAATTCATGACGTAACAATTCACAATTCACGGCGTAACAATTCACAATTCATGACCGTCAAACCAACCTGGAAGTAGTGAGTCTCACAATAGGCCAAGCCCCTCTTCTCGTAATGTCGGTTGCCGAAGAATGGTTTTTCACATTTGCAGCAGACAAAATGCTGTTGTTGTTGTTGTGTGTGTGTGTGTGTGTGTGTAAGAAAGAAAGAAAAAAGAAAGAAAGAAAGAGTGAGAGAGAAAGAGAGAATGTGTGTGTTTGTCTCTATAGTATCTGAGTTTGTAAAGCTTAATTTGTTTGCTCAACGTAATGTTTGTTCAAGTCAAAGAGAATTTGTCTCTATGTGCTTCCATCGTAAAATTCAAATAAAAATGTCTCTGGCTGTTTCATTTGGAAAAATAACCTTCCAATGAAACTTTTTGTGGAGATGATTTGGGATCAAAATGCAAACATCCATCCATCCATCTATCCATCCATCCATCCATCCATCCATCCATCCATCCATCCATCCACATTACATCCATCCATTCGTTCCAGCATTTAAATGTATTTGATTGCAAGCATACACTTTAGAATAAACAAGCAGGCAGCCAACAAATCAACAAACCAACCAAACTATCAACCAACCAGCCAGCCAACCAACCGACCAATCAACCAACCAACCAGCCAGCCAACCAACCGACCAATCAATCAACCAACCAATCAACCAACCAATCAACCAACCAGCCAACCTCAGTATGCCAGATCTTTCCAAGGGCATGCACTGCTCTTTCTTCAATAGGTCTCCTGGGTATGAGTTCATGTTTCGGCAACAACATCAGCAACATTAGTCCAATTGAAGAAGAACATTTTTATGAGCAGTGTCGGGAATAAAATATAATCATTAAGCAAAACATCATAAAAATTGAAAAAGATTAATTTTATTTGAAATCACAAACGCGCCCACCTACACGCCGCACATATTGGAATTCCCATCTTGTCGTGGCAACGTAAGCAATACAACTCGTGATCTTTTTCGCGGGCCGATGACGTCAATTCGCAACTAGGGATGTGCGAAAATATCAAAATAAAATGTCATTCATAGAACTGGAGGGCCGTCAACCGGCCCACGGACGGACCAATCAGATTGGGGTAAAAAATGTCAATCGACCGACCCGCAATCGTGGCATTTGAAGTGGTAGGCATGAAAGACTTCGTGGTTGAACCTCAAAAAGTCATTCTCATCTACGACAGTCCTGATGACGATAATGACGATGATGGTTTTTAATGATGCATGCATATGATGATGATAATAATGATGATGATGATGATGATGATGATGATGATGATGATGATGATGATGATGATGATGATGATGATGACGATGGTGGTTTTTAATGATGCATATGAAGACGATAATAATGAGGATGATGAGGATGATGATGATGATGATAATGACGGTGGTGGTTTTTAATAATGAACATGAATATGATGATGATAATAATAATGACGACGACGATGATGATAATGATGAGGAAGATGGCCATCATCATCATCATCATCAGACTAACTTGCACTTGAAGCAAATGTGCTTGCCGACCAATCTGGCTTTCTCTTCCTCATTACAAGATTTACACAAGGCTCTAGTAGTGATGATGATGATGTTGGTGATATAATGATGATGATGATATGATGATGACGATGAAGATCATGATGGTGATAATGATGGTAATGCTTGGTGATTGTGATGATGATGGTGATTATGATAGTTAAATGGGATTGATGATGATGATCATTCAAATAATGACAACCATGGCCAAAAAAGTCAATCTCAAATGCAGTCAGTCAGTTCATCAATCAACCAATCAACCAACCAACCGACCGACCAACCAACAAACCATTCAATCAATCAGCTGACCTATTTCCGGTTTTAATGAATCCGACATCGGCCAGTTGGGCGGAGCATTGTGCACATAGGAAGCAGTGTGGATGCCAATTCGTGTTCATAGCTTTTATAACACGGCCCAGGATAAATTCCTCTAAAAACGATAATTATTATTCCTGTCTAAAAACTGAGTTTAGCTCTGGCTCTCCCGTTGTTGGCATTTTGCTATTAATAACAAAATGCCAACAACGGGAGAGCAATGGCCCGGCCCCATTTCCTCTAGATCTGCCACTGACGGCAACAACAACAAAAACATCAACAACATCACCAACAACAAGAACAACAATATCAAAAACATTCACATTAACAACAGCAGCAGCAGCAACAACAACAAAAACATTCACATTAACAACTGCAGCAACAACAACAACAACAAAAACATTCACATTAACAACTGCAGCAACAACAACAACAAAAACATTCACATTAACAACTGCAGCAACAACAACAACAATATCAAAACATTCATACTAACAACAACAGCAGCAACAACAACAGCAACAACAACAACAGCAACAACAGCAAAACAACAACAACTTACTACATGATGAACAGTAGGGCGCGAACAATATCTGAAAATCGTGAGCGCAATACAGCCTGCCCTCAAACTATATTACGAAGAATAATGAAATAATTATTACAACATTAATTACAATAATAACAATAATTATAACTAGAATAATTATAAGTGTAATATTTATATAATTATTATTATTATTATTATTATTATTTACAATAATTATATGATTATATGATTAGCAATACCAATTATATAGAGTAAAGAAATTAATGTGTGGATGATTGGACGAAAAACTGACGGATGAATGAACGAATTGATTGATAAATGGATGAATATTTGAATGGATGAATGAATATTTGAATAAATTGATGAATGGATGAATGAACGGATGGATGGATGGGTGCATGAAAAAACGAACGAACGAACGAACAAATGAATGAAGAATGTTTTCATTTGACTTGAAGCTTTCCTCTTTTTTTAAATGAAAATAATAAACAAATAAGTGAGTGATCAAACAAACTGACAATTAAATAAATGAATGAATGAATGGTTGAATGAATGAATAGACGGATAGATAGATGGATGGATGAATAAATAAATGAAAGAATGAATGAATGAATTAATTAATTAAAGAATGAATAAATGAATGAATAAACAAATTAACGAACGAACAAACAAACAATCAAACAAACTGACAATTAAATAAATGAATGAATGAATGGTTGAATGAATGAATAGACGGATAGATAGATGGATGGATGAATAAATAAATGAAAGAATGAATGAATGAATTAATTAATTAAAGAATGAATAAATGAATGAATAAACAAATTAACGAACGAACAAACAAACAATCAAACAAACTGACAATTAAATAAATGAATGAATGAATGGTTGAATGAATGAATAGACGGATAGATAGATGGATGGATGAATAAATAAATGAAAGAATGAATGAATTAATTAATTAATTAAAGAATGAATAAATGAATGAATAAACAAATTAACGAACGAACAAACGGACGAACAAACGAAGAAGTGAATGAATGAATGAATGAATGAATGAATGAATGAATGAATGAATGAATGAATGAATGAATGAATGAATGAATGAATGAATGAATGAATGAATGAGTGAGTGAATGAACGAGTGAATGAACCTCGAAGAAAATTCCGTCAGGAAACTGTTGAAAACACTGAGCACATCTGCAGATAAATGTGAAGTAGAAAATAATCTTTATCATTGAACTTCCAACTTCAGTTAACTAATTTTTCATTTACTTGTTACAATTTTAAATGCTTGATAAATTTAAAAAAAAAGTTAATCATGAGAAGAAGAAGATAATGATGATGATGGTGAAAATGATGATGATGATGAAGATGAAGAAGAAGATAATGATGATGGTGAATGGGGTTAATTATAAAGTTGGCCAAAACAATTACCACCACATTAATTATTATACAAGCAGCCCTAAGAAATGCATAGCAATTAGTATTAGCTTGCTCAGTCGTAATTCGTAATTATTATCATTTTTGTGATGTTAGTGAGAGAGTGAGTGGGTGGGTGAATGAATGGGTGATCGATTGAATGAGTGAGCGAGTGAGTGAGTGAGTGAGTGAGTGAGTGAGTGAGTGAGTGAGTGAATTATTGAATGTTCAACTTTGTTTGTGTTAGATAGAATACACACACATATGGTACATTTCAACAAATAAATTAACACCACCATCATCATCACACCACCATCATCATCACACCATCATCATCATCACACCATCATCATCTTCCCAACATCATCATCGTCATCATTATCATTGTTATTATCATCAATAACATCAACAGTGACACCAACAACAACATCAAAAAGACATTAGCAGAAGGAGCATTAATGTAATTGTAATGCGACAAATGACATTGGTAGATAAGCTCACATTCGTTTCGTTCTGCATTGAATGGGCCTTTTGTAAGAAAATTTCAAAAATTTAGTTACTTTTTCTACTAGCGCTGCTGCTGCTACTGCTACTACTACTACTACTGCTAATACCACTACTACTACTACTGCTAATACCACTACCACTACTACTACTACTACCACTACTACCACTACTACTACTACTACTACAACTATTACTACTACTACTTCCGTTCATCCTTTCAGCAGCTGCTATTATCACTGCAACGGTTTATTTGTAAACTGCCTGTTGAACATAAAATGGATTCAAAAAAAGGAGTTACATAGATTCATAGCTAATACAGTACATGAAGAAGTTAAAAGTTATTAATAGCATGTTCTAGTTGCTAATACTACTGCTACTACTGCTACTACTACTACTACTACCACTACTACCACTACTACCACTACTACCACTACTACCACTACTACCACTACTACCACTACTACCACTACTACCACTACCACTACCACTACCACTACCACTACTACTACTACTACTATTACTACTACTACTACTACTACTACTACTACTACTACTACTACTACTACTACTACTACTACTACTACTATCACTACTACTACTGCTACTACTCTTGCTATTTGGATGGCCAGGCTCTATAGAATTCAAAAATTCTGGTAGAATTTTTTGTTTTTTTGCTACAAAATAAACCTTCTTTCGTTTCGCTATTACTCAAGCTGCTAGCTTCACCTAAAATACTACCTTTTATTACTACAATCGCTAGTGCTATTACTACTATGGCAGAGTTCTATTACAACGTTATGCTATTGTATTGGCTAGATTGTTTGAGATTGTATGAGGGTTTGTTTTGTAATAACCTGCTATATTTTAAAACACTTGTGTAGTCATTCATTTTTTAAGAAAATAATAAAATAAATAATAAGGACCATAACACCATAACACAACAACTTTATAATCATCGTTATCATTAACAACAACAGCAACATTAAATTCATCACCATCAACAACAACAACATCATAATCATGATGAACAACAACTTAGACAACACTCACACGAAGCATTTTTGGTGCCACACTTTTCCATTTAAGTTGACCATGGCTTCATTCAGGCTGAATGCGCCCCTGCAAAACTCGCATTTGTCGTTTGTGATGTTTTGTATTTGTTGCTCTGCTTCTGTGGTAATGGTGGTTTGTTTACTGTTTCCAACATTGAAGCTGTTGTTGTTGTTGTTGTTGCTTGGTGGTATGAATTCGAAATGACCTTCACCACTGTTGTTGTTGTTGTTGTTGTTGTTGTTGTTGTTGTATGATGAGATGTTGTTGTGACTCATGCTGGCGGCGTGGTTGTTGATGTCGTTGGCAGACCGGGCAGTGGTATTGTGGTCTTGTTGTGAGAGGAGTTGCAGTTGTTTTAGATGTTGCTGAAGAAGTTGTTGCTCGTGTTGTTGCAGAGGCTGTTGCTGTTGCACGGCGTTCATCAGCTGGCTCTTCCTACTCACCCGCCTTTGCAGCAGGTTGCCCTCCTGGTTGCAGGCCGAGAGCGGTCGCAGACGCAGAATCGGTTGCGGTTTCTGTTGGCAGTTGCTTGAAAGGTTGTTGCTGGAGTTGAAGTGATGCTTTTGAGGCTGTTGCTGCTGTTGTCGCTGGTGTTGTTGATTTTGCTCAGTTTCTTGTTTTTGGTACTGTTGTTGGCACCGCTGTTGGGGGTGAATATTTTTTGACATTTTAAATTTTTTGAAATTCGGCTTCTCGATTCTAAATTATCTTTCTCAGGTAATAATTATCTCAAACTTTATTATATCCGGCTACGTGTATTATAAAAAACTGTGGTTGCATCAAACGTCTATCTATTTATTAATATTTTAATATTTGAAGGGAATTTGGATAATGAAAAGTGACAAAGAAGCAAGCGAACTCAGCCATTTACTTAGAACGATCTTAACAAAATAATATGACACAACATAACTTATGAAAAACTGATCGTTCTACTCTTCTACTCCTTCATAAATAGAGAGAATTCATAACATGTACAAACGCTACTCATGCTTATATATACAATATTAAAAGGCAAGTGAATTATAATATATGTATGTATGTATGTATATATATATATATATATAAGTGTATATAATGTATATTTTTCTTTATATATACATATATATATATAACATGTATATACGTGTATAATAATATAAGAACATATATAACGTTCATACCATGTCTATATGATAATATAGATATTAGTTATATTTCAAAAGTGAATTTACCATAATTATAAAATAATAATATATAGCTAATTTAGCGTTGAATGGCTTCGAACCGAAAGTTGTTGAGTTGTTGTGAGAGATTTTAGTTTATGTTGAGTTAAAATGGTTAATTAATTAATTCATTCATTCATTCATTAATTAACTAATTGGTTAAATGTCCATTTTTCCATTTTTAAACATCAGTCTATAATGCTCGCTTGGTTGATTTATGCAAATTACCCCTTACAGCCCTTGTCATCCATCGACCGTCGTTTGATTTGAAACTACGTGACACCATCCAAATTGACAGATGCACAGCTGGTGGAAAGTATCAAACTACTAAAAAACGTGCACAAGTTAACATCATCCGCTCCAAACTTGATAATTGTGATGAAAGTTTATAAATTAAATTTCTATAAACAATTTTTTCTCTACTTAGTTGTATCGCCTCAGAATAATGTGAGGTGGTTGTGGTTGGTTTCAAGTTTGTGGCTGGCTGGTTGCAAATGTGTGGTTGGTTGCAAGTGTGTGGTTGGTTGCAAGTTTGTTGCTGGTTGCAAGTGTGTGGCTGGTTGGTTGCAAGTGTGTGGCTGGTTGCAAGTGTGTGGCTGGTTGCAAGTGTGTGGCTGGTTGGTTGCAAGTGTGTGGCTGGTTGGTTGCAAGTGTGTGGCTGGTTGCGAGTTTCATCCAGACTCAGACTACATTGCAAATGACTTCAAATGGTATGGCTTTAATTTTGAAATAGCATATAAATAGACAATTTCAATAAATAGAATTATATTATATATGTTAATACATGTTTGTATTACATACTGTTATGTTACTATATATTAATTTTTGTCATAAAAACCAATAGGTACATGTGTACGTGTGTATATAGGCGTGTGTGTGTGTGTGTGTGTGTGTGTGTGTGGGTGTGTGTGTGCGCGCGCGTGACACCTCGCTCTGAAGTTAAATTGAAGGATGCATCACATTTAAATAGGATGTGAAATAGGCAGCTACGAGCTAGCTTATCTTATTATTATAATTAAATTTCATCATCATCACTACCACCACCACCATCGGCAACATCGTCATCAGCACCAGCGTAGTAAACATCACCATCATCAACACCACCATCATCATCACCACCATCGTCATCTATCTAATTTGTATCATTATCATTATCAACGTACCTTCATCAGCATCGTATTCTTCTTCCTCGTCACATTAATTTGGCTATCAACATCACGTATTTACTATCATCATCATCATCAAATAAAATTAAATAATCAATATCATCATCATCAACTGATCATAATAATAAAATAAATAATAATACCAATTATTATTACTATTATTATTATTATTATTATTATTATTTAATCATCGTCATCATGGTCCTCTCATTCTCAGTTGCTTTTTGTCACTCATATCTATCATATCTATATATATATATCTATGATATATCATATTGTACATTTTTACTACACCGGTCGAGTTAAATTTCTCTTCCGTGATCCTTCATTGCGGATATCATAATCTAAAAGTTCTAGACAATTGTACTTATCTGCTTTTGTTCATGTAAAGTGTTAACCAATTGACTTTTGTACTTATGTGTTTGTATACCTCTAAACTTACGTACTTAAATGTTTTGTCTGCATGCCATCCTATGTATTTATGTAATTTTGTATGTCTGTATCAACTTTGTGTATCTATTTATTTATCAGTTCGGATTTTTTAAGGATTAAATTTAAAAAAAATTTTTTAGGTCTGTGAATCTAGGTATTTATATGTTTTTTGTACTCATGTATGTGTTGGTACTTATATGTCTTTATCAATTTTTATGCGTGTATGTGCGTGAGTATGTGTGCGTGTGTGTGTGTATGTGTATGCGTGTGTGTGTGTGTGTGCGTGCGTGTCCGCCAAAATATTTAAGTGTATATATTTTTTATAATATTGCAAAATAACTGATTCATATCATTGCATATGTAGAGAAATATTAATTTGATCAGATTTGTTCAAAGCATTTTTTAATGAATAGAGTTGAATAGAGTTGCTATTTTGTTAACGAAAATGGTTAGTTGTACTCATTAGCGTAATCGTTGGTTATTCCAGAGCTACTTGTGATTACACTAACTGCTAAGCTTGATGGATTATGATCTATCTATCTTTGTTTTACATAATAAATCACTGTTGAAATTTAAAAAAAAAGTTGAACCTTACAGGTAACTTTTTTTAAAAAATTTTATCAATGCATGTAATAAAAGGTTTTTGAAACTTTCTTTAATGATCAATCAAAAGATATCTATCTATCTAACCGTAGATAGCAAGACTACCAAGGTCTATGAAGTTTCATTCTCAGTTAGTTCAACAGATAACTACTTCAAATAGTACAATTGCTGATTTAATAATTTCTAATTTTAATTGTAACAAATTCTACATGAATAATGAAATATCCATAACTTGAAGCCAAATGACGGAAAACACAGAATCTAGACAAACAATAATGATGATATAAAATAAAATTAATCCTTTAAATTTTTAACTTAACTTTTATAAAAATGAAAACTCCGAAATCAAAACCAAATTAATAATGACAATAAAACTATAAAATAATAATTGAACGCTAAGTAGAAATCATAGCTGATATAATTATTTCCCATCCAATGACAAATATCTCAATATAGGTAGCTTAATGACCGATAGTATTATGCCATAATTGGTCTGAAATTTTACAAAACCATATCTAATTCTGTTTAAACGAGTTAAACGCGGTGAAAATGGATGAAAAAACCAAAAAGAAATCACGTTTAGACCAGCTCGTTTTAAGCTGCTAACAAACTTAACAATAGTTTTTTATTTCTGGAGAAAACTCCGTCAGACGAAGAATCTGCTGTTGTGATCCTATTTATATTAAGATAACAACATTTTTTTAAGTACAGAAATTTTAATTTGAAAATATATTCTGGCTCATGACCAACAAGAATGGATTTAAAAAATGGACGTAGAAAATGGATAAATAGAGATATAAAAATGCAGTTGACCAGTAAGTAGACCCCAACAAAGCAACCAAATGAGGAGCTTGAAATGTGATTTTAATTTGAAAGGGTGCCAACATTTAAAAGTAAATTTTTTGGCAATTATCAGTTATAAAAAAAACCAAAGAAGAATCCATTAAAAAGTAATGAGGTTAGCGTTAATAGGTTAAAATCAATAAAATAAGAAATTGAGAGGCTTGAAAACTCCATGGATTGCTTGCTACTGATTCAATTTTTGGATAAAAATTTACTGACTAAAACTCACACATAAAAAATGCCATTCGGGGATGCGCCTTCAGTTTTAGGCGCTTCGTTATACTTAATTGGCAACCGTTTGATTTATTCGCGTAGTTGAAGAAAGAGGAGCGTTTGTGACTTTTAAAAATGTGAAACTTCTAACTATCATGCGTTAGAAGGTCAAAAATATTTCGTGAGATTAAAGGGTTGTTGTTTCTCCGCTGACTGTCGTGAAGAAAAAATCGCAACTTCACGAACGCAACATTCATTTACACATTCACACACACACAAGCACACGCACGCACGCACACACGCACATAATACCTAACCATTAATCCTTGCATAGACAAGAAAGTAAATTAAAAGGTAATTAATTAGCTAGGCTAATTATATGAAAGCAGATTTCTCTTATGGCGATCATTTCCCACTACAACACCAGCCACACCGGATCTTAACCATTATGAAAATTTCCACCCAAATGTACAGCAGTGACACAGGTATTTATTTATCTATAGGTCGTCTCTCTTTTAGCTTAGTAAGCTGTAGAACGGCATTCAAGCAAATTGTGTGTGTGTGCGTTCGTGGGTGTGTGTGTGTGTGCGTACGTGGGTGTGTGTGTGTGTGTGTGCGTTC